CTGAGTGAAACAAATCCTGCTCCCCTCTTTGACCACACCTGCATTTCATGTTCTGCAGCCCAAATTTTGGTCTGACACCATAAGCAGTTGCTCAGATAGAACTGAACAGACACGTACACACAAATTTTCCACCACCCCACTGGTGTCCTCGAGCAGGAGCTGAGAAAAAAAACCCCACAAGTTTGTGCCTGAAAGCTGCAGAAACCTCTTGACAGACACTGAGATGCAAAGAAAGGAAGAAAGGGGGCGAGGGGAATCACACACCCCAAGCCTCCCCCACTCCAATTTTCAATTTTACTCAAAAACACCAGGAAAAAGTTACTTTTGTTGCCAGTCAAGTAAAACACAATAAAGTCTGTTTGTTTCTTGGCAAGGAACTGGAGTGACCATTCTGAAAACATGGGATTGGTACACAAATGTAAAGGAACTATAAAAACACAGCAATCATAATTGTGTACACAAGCTAAGATTAGCCATTAGGAGGGAATTCATTATTTTGGAAGAATTTAGTTATAAATATTATACTTTTCCCTTGCTCATAGCATTAGCTTCTCTTCCCTAAGATCACATGTCTAAAAAGACAAAAGTTAGAAAAACCCCACAGTATCAGACAACTGAAAAGTAAAGTTACTGAACCAGAAGTTGTTTCACTTACAAGAGAGACTGACACTGACTAAAGTGATTAAATAAAATTATTTACTGCTTTATGTGACATAATGCTGGCAATGGATGTATTGAGAGAAGATTAGAAACCATCAATGACTACTTTTCTTTACTCACAAACTCCTAAATCTTGGTGAGAAAAAAGAAAATGTCTGAAATCTTTAGGAGGGCGACTTGGCTTTCTTAGCTTTCTCACTGAGAGAAAATAATTTTTAGAAGTACAAGAGAAATGCAAATATATTTGTCATTTAAGTCTTGAATACAAAGCTATTCAGCTCTGCTTATGCCATCAACACCACCATATTTAATAAATACACAAACTCCTATTCAGCACTTCAACATACTAGTTCAAGAAAGTGTCAACATTTTACATCACTTGGGAAAGTGAGGCTGAAATGTATTACCTGAAATTTCCTGTAACCTCAAGACTTCCTGAATCCTAAACACTATCCAAACTTAATAATCACAAAGGCATATTCCCCTTATTTGTTAATCTTTGTAGTGGATTTCGTAAGTCACATTTCAACCATTTATTTCTATTTAAATATTTCTGCTTGTCCCAGTTTTTCCCATGACACTTCAAAATTGTCTCTTGCCCGTGCCAATTATTCCCCGCTTTCTAAAATTGTGCATGACAATGACCCTCTCCTTAGAGTCTGTCAGCCAAAGCCACAGTGATCACAGAGGGGAAAGATGACTTAAAGAAATCAGAAGTAAGTGAAAGGCCATGTGTTTTTAGAAGCAAAGAACCCCAGTCTCTAGACAGCACAAAAAGCAGCTGTTTTTCTTTTTCTTTTCCTCTTCAACCTGAGCTACACATTTAATTCTTCCAACTATATTCCTTAACTCCTCCTATCCTCCCTTTTCCATTTTTCATCCTCTGAAAGATTGCCATCTAAACTTCTGCACAGTCAAAAGGAGAAGGTTTTGGCTCCACCTTATCAGTGGATGCTCACAAAATACTGTTTGCAGATACCTACTCCTCTGGAACTGCCTCATGAAAAGACAGCTGAAGTGTTGAGGAGGGAGGGAAGGAAAGGAAGGGAAGTCGCAGGCTTCCTGCTATTAAAAGCCAAATTTAAACCCTTCCTACATCAAAAAGGCCTCTGTTGTTGGCAGTAATGCAAAGAGTAGAAAATTTGGTTGATACGGCTTCTGCATTACGTTTACAAGGAAGCTCTTCCATGGAACCAGGGACACTGGAAAAATCTGTGGGGAGGCCACACTCCCATTTTTCATGGAACTGCTGCAGGAAGATGTGAGATGATAGCACAGCCACCTGAAGCCATTCTGCAAGAGCTGAAAGTGGGCTAAGCCCTTCCAGAAAAACTGCATGCAGAAAAGCCTGTGCTGCAGAACATACCTTGCTTCTCCAATACTCTACTCCCCAATGCCACAGCACTCTTACATCCCACACACCACCTTCACTACAGCAACAGAAAAAATATATTTCTGTCTCTAATTCATCTAAGGATTATAAAAGGAACATTGAAAAAAAAATAGTCTTTACTGTAGTTAACTTGCCTACAACTTTAACTACCATCACATTAATCTTAGCTTTAGCTACTCAACACATTAATTACTTGAAGCACTTGATTCCACATAGTTCCTCAAATAATTAATTAGCTAAAGGGATTGAGAATTGGAGTCCCAGAGGAAATTCTAGTTTCATAGAACTACACAGATTTCACCTTGCAAAGGGCTACAACAATCACCTAAAGGCATGGGACAACTTCAGCTATTCAGGGGCAGAATCCTAAAACCAAACCAAATAAAATCCCCTCACATTCACTGAAGTAGGCCAGCACTTTTAGCACTGGATATCCTGCTTAGTCACCAGAAAGAAAAGTAAAACTAAATAAAAACTTTTGATTCCTTCATTCACAGCATTAGACATTTTTCCTAACAGGTAACTTCTCTCTGCTTCAAATATCCATTGCCAAAGGGCAACCAAACCAAGGCAAACAACTCTAAGACACGACTTTAAACTGGATTTCTTTCAAAACACAAGAATAAGCTGTACCAACAGAAATAATTCAAATCTAGTTATGTACAAGTACACTACAATTAATGAAAATTTATCATCTGCAGCATATTACTATTTTCACCACCTCTCTCCTGCTATTCATCACATCAGCTGGGGTTTATGTGTGTTTTATGCAAACATGTTTATGTTCCAGAGCAACTGATCAGGACATGATGAGAAGTAATGCTCTGCTCTTCCTACCCTTCCAAAAAAACCTCCATGCTATTTCTCTCATTAGCTGAATCCCACATCATCTTTCCACAAGGTAAGCAGGGCAGAAGGGGAATGAATCAGGCAAAAAGGGTAATGGAAAGCGAGACAACACAGAGAGCAGTTAGTTATTTGGAAGAAAATTCAAGTTATTTAAGGACAGATGTGTAACTTGTAAGAATTTCAAAACACTGAAAAACAGCCTTTTCCCTGCTGTAAAGTGCATGTTATGATCTACTGATTATTTTTGGCAGCAGAACCCTAAAAACGATGCGTTTTAACTTACTCCCTGCACACTTTAAATATACCACCCTTCTGCACTGGGTTTTATGCAGCCCAGTGTTCCAACAGGTATTACCCACCAAAGGACAAGCACAGGGGACAGAATGCCATGGGGGACAGCCCCGGTGCCACCCCTGGCCGGGCTGTGCCCCGTGACTGGCAGCAGCTGTGCTGGCACAGCCCTGCCCCGTAACCCAAACCCCCTGCTCTGAGCAGCCAGGAGCCAGCAGAGCCTCCTGAGGCCAAATCTGCCATGTTGTCCTGGATTCCAGCTGCAGGCTCAGCCCTGCCCAAAGCCCCAGTGCAAAGGGAGGCACTGGAGGAAGCCCTGCTGCTGCAATCCCAGTGTGTCCCAGTCCCCACCAGCTCTGCCCAGGTCTCTGGGCTCCCGGTCCCACACAGGGTTGGGGTTACCCACCCACACCATACACCACCCACCACACAGCACTGCTACCCTTTAAGAGAATCCACGTGCTGATAAACTTAGAAAAGCCTTGTTGCTTAAATGGACTGACACTTTCAAAGATACCAGGGATCCACTTCCACTTTCATTTATGAACTTTTTACTCAGCACCCAATAGTGATACCTACTCAAACAAGTCAACTCATGCAAGTCTTTTAAGTCACTCAAGTCTTTTAAGAGGTCTCTGCAGCAGCCCAAAGGACAGAGACAGCTCAGCAGTAACAGGATGCAGCGCTAGGCAATCATGAAAAAGTTATTTTGGAAATAGAAAATATTCCTTATTAAGAGGAGCTAAAAACATGTAGCACATAATGTATTTCTTATGAATCAGTCTGAACTTTCATCCAAAAGACTGTGTACCTTATCTGAGCTATCATTTGCTGATTAGGAAGAAGTACTGTCCAGACTCCTTGGCCAAACTTTCAGCTCAGATATTCTTATTAAAGAATTAACTACTGGAAGGCTAATAAAAGCTTAGCCTTCCCAAAAATGGAGGATTCACAAAATAGATGATACCACTAAAAGCTAAAGGGTAGCAGTACAAAACTGTTATGTTTGAAAACAAGCATGACAAAATCAATAATACAATCTAAAAAAAAAAAAAAAGCCCAGAAAATAAGCTTTGAAATTTCAACACTTTGATTCAATTAGTATTAATTTAGCAGCTTTTGGTATACACACACACAACTGCAAGCATAAATTAACATTGAGAAGAATCTCTTCCTACTCTCTAGCAAAGTTAGTAAAAAAGTTAGCAAAAAAAAAATCTTTTTCAGACAAACAAGAAGATATTAATTTTCCCTATCTTAATGCCATTCTCCTCTTCACAACTGCTAAATAATGGATATTAGATACAAAAAATAAAAGCTTTTAGAAAGATAATTTAATACAAACATCTGGGCAAGCAAACACAACAAAATCTGCAAAATTCAGAGTACGATTTCATTCTGTCTGGTCACAGAAAATAAAGCCTTACTTGCTCCAAATAAAGAAAATTGTGCTCACTTTGTACAATGACACAAGGCATGTTTACAGCAATATGAACCAATGTGCTATAGCTGAGGTAAATCAGTGTCAGCCATGTTGTGAAAGAAACTGCAATTAACAGGCCCACAAAATTCAAAACTTAAATCAGCTCTGCCTTGATATAATAATTTTATACTGCTGATCTTACTTATGATTGGTGCCTGACTTCTTCAGGTTAATGTCTATTAATCTCATCTAAAAATACCCATCCAAATTCTAGAGAGAGTGAAACAGCAGCAGGAGGAAAATACACGAGATATAAACCAAGAGCACTGACTGCAGCACAAAGGAGGAAGGTACAATGTAAAGTGAAAAAGCAAATGCACTTACTCAGCATTAAATCCATTCACGTGCAGGATCCTCATCTGCTTGACTATTGTGCTTTTACCGGATTCACCAGCACCTAGAAAATGAAAGTAAGTCAATTTCAGAAGGAAGCATAAGTGATTAAGGCACACACTAGAATTTTTTTCTTCGGGCTAAAATCGAGAAAGTTGGGTTTCTCAGCGTAAGAGTGAAAAGTGAAAGAAATAATTGCCACTGGAAACTTCAGTTGTAGCTAAAAATAAATGCCCAGAGCAAGTCATGTGTCAGATCTGAATCTTGGATCATTTCACTGTCCATTTTTCCAGTGTCAATGTTAAAAGCAGACTGCAGTATTTGGAAAGAAAATGGACAACTTCAACATTTTACAGAGAAGACAACAGGGAACATCACAGCCTGGCTGCCTTGTCACTACTATCTGACAGAGGGAAAGGCTGACTGAAGTCCCTATTAAACCAAAGAAATTCTGTTGTATCCTTAAAGAACTCTGAGTTTGACTGGGTGATGATGAACTGCAGCCAAACTCCGTAACTTAAATCACAAGGAATAAAATATGTAGATACTCACATTTCTAAAAGGAAGGCATCCCTTTAAGCCTCCACCCACAAAGCTACAAAAAACCTCCTCTTATTTGTGTCTTGTAAGCAGCCTCCCACCCTCCCTACATGTTCCAAAAGCAACCCCACGCACGAGGAGAGGCAGAGACCACCTTTTGTGGCTGCTGCTCTCCCCTCCTGTACCTGCAGCACAAAAGCCCCACTCCACTTTACTCCAGTTTCCATAAGTAGATGGATGCTATTTCTGCTGTGCTGCTCGGATGCCAGAGCACAGGGCAGCCCATCTGCCTATAGTACCCGTTTTTCCATGCACGCTGAACAACTCCAACAGCAGCATTTAATTGAGCTGCTCCACGCTGCCAGATCGGCAGCTTTCTATATAAAGCAAACATATTTTTGCAGGAGTAGTATCGTAACGTGGCAAAATTTAGAAAGATTCCCCTTAGCATCTCCTGGCTACTGGTTCATTCCCCTCCCCAGCCTGTGTCTCAGCCACAGGAACTGTATGTCTGTGGCAGAACGGGCAGGGAGGTACAGTTTGTATTTATAGGATGTCAGGCCTCTCTGCTAGCACACACTGACAGCACAAGCCTCCATTTTGAGCCTCATGTTCAAAACTGTATTTTAGCAGTTACATTTCAAGGTTCATTTTCTCACAAATGCTTTCCCCCTCTGCTTTCTACCTTCCTTTCCTTCTCCCTCACAAATTCCCAAAAGTCCTCTTCTGCTCTCCATAAAACCTGGTTGCATGTTTTGCCACTTTAATCCCAGAGCCTTACTCTTTTTCCCTCTCCTTGCTCACTGCTGTTCTGTAAGCATTTAGAGAGCAGTTTTTATCTACAACTCCTTATGCACACGCCACTTCTTCACTAAGCTGCTATTTTATACCATACACCCTCTGTCTGATCAGGCAGACTGCACCATGCAATAAACACAGGTGGATAAACCAACCAATAATTAGTATCTTGGGATAAAATAGACTGGGTTATCTTCACAACTAAGCATTACTCACAAAGGCAGTATCTGCTATAGTCATATGTCCATTTAAATATTAATAACAACTAAATTTAAGCTGTAACACTAAATCACATTTTATATTTATACGCATTGGGAGCCAAAATCTTTACTCCACTTGGTCCAAGAAGGAGGCTGGACAGTTGTTGCATTTGCTATAAACACATTCGGTTTGATATTGACACACCTGGGTTCTCTGGATCTGATACAACACCAGTGAACCAAAATGATGTATTACATGTACATTTCTCCGTAAGTCTAGCTCTACATTTGGCTGCTTGTTAAGGCCATATTCTCAACAACAATTACACACACACATTTAACTTCACCACCAAGGAGAGTTCCATTAATTTCAGGGAGACTGCTCGTGGCAGCGGGGCAAGCACGTGTACAGCAATGGGGCCTACGAGCAGCAGCATAAACCCACTAGAATATTCAGCAGCTCCTCTTTGTTGTCATTTGAATATGATTTGAAAAGATTAAGAACACTTTCCAAGTGCCTGGCTTCTTATTTTATGTGTCTTATAGAGGAAACATAACATAATAATAGGGAGGTGAGCTTCTATATTTTTGACCAGTGAGTTACAGATTATCCACAATTCATGGCAGAAACTGTAACAGCTGAGCTATCACTTCAAACACACTCACAGATGACTTTACTGCCGTCGCTAAACACACGCACATTTTTATTTGCAAGTATCTAAACTATTTTTCAGCCACCAAAACTAAAGAAAACAGAAAGAAAACCCAGGCAAGCCCATCATGTTTCTGTTTGCTGAAATTTTGCCTCTTACGAAAGCAACTCCTCTGATGACAAATAGTTTCTATGTATCTACGTAATGTGCAGCCTGAAATCTGGAAGTCCAAGACGTTTCCCAAGAGCTGAAGTCCAAATTATCCTGTTAAAAGATTTCTATTGAAGCCCTGGCAGGCTCCTCAGTGCTGCAGGTGCTGCTGTAGTCCCAGTCACTCTCCATTTATATTAAGTCTCTCTCTTCAAACGAGTATTTGAAAGATTTTACTGGTGATAGTGCGCTTCCCAATTCACCGCCTTCAAAAAATTCTTTTTTTCTTTTTTTTCCTCTCCTTCCATTAGGGTTTTTCCCCCCAAAACGGAGTCAGCTCGGCGAGGCCTAGCCTGTGCTCCACGCTTCAGCCCTGCAGAACGTGCACAGGCAGTCCCTCGGCGTGACCAAAACAACCCACGGCTCGTAACTGCATCCGATCCTACAACACTACTCCAGAATACTCTGAAATATCGAGCCTGACAAACATTTGCTTGCCCTCTCCGATATCGATATTTGGACCCTTCCGTTCCCTGAAAGCCACAGCCCACATTTGTAAACGTCTCTCCTGAAAAACAGGAGCAGGTAACCCAGCGGAGCCGCTGGAGCAGCACCAGGAGCCCGGCTCTGCCAGCGCTCCAAGGCGCGGTACCTCAATTCCTGGTGCGACAGCGGCGGGTGCCGAGC